TTTTTGGGGGGGGGGGGGGACGTTGTACTTTTCTTTTCTTTCTCGTTTATCTATATTTTTGACATCTTTATTATTATTATTTTTTTTTGCTCATGCCCCTTGCGATGAAACACGGTAGCCTTGGATTTTTAATTTAAAAAACTGGTGTCCCCTCATTCTTTTATTACTTCCTTTTCGTACTTTACTCTCTTTGCACATTTGTAGGCATAGCTATACGTACGTTGCTTCTCTTTTTGTTATTTATATTTTGCTTTACAACTACACTGAGATGCGGGGTGGTGAAAAAGGAGCGGCGGTAGTGGAGCAGGAGCATGTGCTTTACACGGGCGCCGTGTTGGTTCCCTTCTGCGTCGGGAGTGTCGCGTTGCCGCTTTCACTGTGTCGTGCTTCCACATTATCGCCGTTATCTACCACACTGCCGTCGGTCCCCCGTAGGAAGGCAAATCCCCAGCGACGCGCGACGAAGAAGGGTCAGAAGGGAACATCACATAACGAAGGCAACAATGATGATCCACATGACTACAACGCTGGGATTAGTCGCTGTACGCACCTACGCTACAGTTACCTTCGGGATGGGTCCTCTGCAGCACAGGACCTGGCCTATCGTCGTGAGTTGCATACTTTGGGTGAGGTGGCATCGCTGTCAGCCTCGGCAAAGGAAAAGGCGGAGGCGGCTGCAACAGCCTCTCAACTATATGCTCTAGTTGATCGTGTGGTGTTTAAGCTTCCAAATAGTTTTCCTGAGCCACGCCGCGAGCTAACACATCCACCGTTCTTCATCATGGACGATACATGGGCGGAACACCTAGTGGAGATAGAGGTTCACTGTCGCCCGTGGCTCGGTATAGCACCTTTTACGTTGTCACACATGGTGCTTCTGCAGAAACGAGCCGATTTTCCGCCCCAGTTGCTAAGCTCAACGTTTGGGCAGACCAAACCACCGCCGACTGTTATCTTGGCACCTTCCGATCCAGTACTGTTGCCGTCATCCTACACAGCAGCGGCCATAACGAGACCTCGTTCAAAGAGGCGTGTGGAGGAACCCGATGGAACTCACTCCACAGTTGTTGTAGAGCGCAACGCAGACATGGATGAAGTTTGCACGGAGGAGCGGGGAATTTGCGTGAACGTTGATGATATTGAAGAATTTTCCATTGTTGCAGAGCGGCGAGATGCGATACGCATCTTTCATCCCACGTTAAATGTGGCACGGTATCTGGCCGCCGTGCGGAACTTACCGCAGCCAGAGTTAGAGCCCCCGCCGTCGTTTTGTGTGCTTCCAGGACAAAAAAGTGTTCCATTTCACATGCAGCCAGATGAGGATAATGCACCCGAAGACAATTCTAGCTGTGATGTTGCGAAGCGGGGTAGGTCTATTGCCACTGAGGGTGAACATTCTTTAAGAGCTCGGGATGTGGAGTCGCTCCCTCCTTGGTGTTTTCCTTTTGAGGCCATTATGCATGCACATGAGCCAAAAAGAAGAGACGGCGCCATTGACGCGATGCGGTCCGTGTTGGCGGCACTGCAGAAGGAGCAGGCCGAGTTACGTGAGGGCATTGAACAAAAGATTAGCTCAGCAGTGACCAACGCAGATGAGCTTCGGAGTGTCATTCAGAGAATGCGAGAGACGTGTGCATTGCTGGAAAAACCTGTAGGGCAGTAAAAAGGGGTAAGCAAAGCAAAGGGGGCGAAAAGAAAGGAGTAATACTTCTTTGGCAGATCCTTTTTTTAAAGTATCCGTAACCAAAATATCAGGACCCCATGCGCTGCGTTTTTTTTTTTTTACTTTTGCTTTATTATTATTGTTCTAGCTGCAGTGGTGCTTGGAGAAAGGCTGTTTGTAAGTTAAGGGTGATAAGGAAAGACTTTTTAAAAGAAACAAAGGGATAGTGAGTGTCGGTACCTAATCATTAAACAAAAGTCTTCGGTGATTGCACAAATTAATTTTTGGCGATAGCATGGTAAGGAGTGAGTTTCCATTAGAGGCAATTGCTGTCTGTGGCCCCTCTGGCGTAGGGAAAGGAGCGCTTCTTGGCCGCTTGCTGAAGGAGTTTCCGGATTATTTTGGCTATTCCGTCTCACACACAACAAGGGCGCCGCGTGAAGGTGAAGAAAATGGACGCGAGTATCACTTTTCTGATCGTGCCACGGTGGACAGCATGCGGGACAACGGTGAGTTTATTGAGGTCTGCGAGGTGCATGGGAATTTGTATGGCACTAGTGTGAATGCGATAAATGTGGTTCGGGACGCCGGAAAGGTTTGCATCCTTGAGGTGGACATTAAAGGTGTTCAAAAGATACGCAATATGAAAGAGTCGCTGAATGTATTGTACATTTTTGTTACTCCCCCATCGATGGAGGAACTGTGCGAGCGCATTCGGAAGCGGGGGGCGGACAACGAGGAGGTCCTTCAACGACGTCTCCGCACTGCTGAAGAGGAGTTGCGGTTTGTCGAGGAAAATTCCACTTTTTTTTCTCATATTATCCTCAACAAAGACCTTGACGTGGCGTACGAAAAGCTACTGCGCATTATTGACGAGACGTTTGAGACGTGTAACATGTGTAAACTGAGGCAGGATTCCGTGCAATAATCCTGTGACTAAACGGTGCGAGAGTTACGGTGGGGGGGGGGGGGGGCGTGTTCGAGAGAAAAAGATGGCCTGGTAGGGAGTGAGAGGTGGATTTTGATGACAACTGGCAACCAATAAGTGTATGTGTTACGGTGTTTGTAGAGGAACATATATGTGTATTTACTAACCTTCAGGTGTGTCACTTCTGTATGGGTTTCAGTCTTGAAATGAAGGCTGCGTATCCTCACTTCTGTTTTCGGGGCTCCCCTTGTGCCCCATTTCTCAGACTTCCAAAGCGATGCAGCTGGAGATTTATTTGTTTTTATGAAATTCTTTCCTTTTGTGTCTTGTTGGTGGATTGCCATCTGTTCATTCTCGGTTTGTGTCTTTCCAAAACATGATAGCATATCTTTGATTGCTCCATGTATGGGGCAATCACAATAATAATGGAAAACTCAAGTTGTTTTTATTGTTTTTGCTTTTCTGTCAGCACGCATATTGAGCTATAATTCTTTAATAAAAAAGATGAATAGAACAATTCATCGTTTGATGACTATTGATGCCTACATATGTGCATATCAAGGTGTCTTGGGCATAGGTCTCGGGTTGCCTCTTTTTGAAAGAGAGCGGGTTCAACCTCTCTGTGGCTGTCCACTTACCTCGTTGCATAAACTGTGCTTTCGTAGAGAGCCAGTTGTAGCCGCACACAAAATGTCCCCATTCATACGTGCGCCCACTTTGTCACGCTTTATCTTGTGGATCTGTTTTTCTTTCTTTCTTTCTGTGTTTTATTTCAGTATTGTCACCGCTGTTTTCTGTGCGAATATGTTTCCATTTTTTTTTCTTTTCTTTTCTGGTTTAATTGTTTATTATTATTATTACATTTTTTTTTGTGGTGGTGGTGGTGGGGGGCTCCTGCTGTTATTAATGATGCCCGCGCCCTCTAACTTGAAGCCCTGTGGGCGCTTTGTATTAGAGCCGGTTGTAGTGGCCCTAAATGAGCGGTACAAAGGGGACTGAGGCTGCCACCTTGCATCTCACAGCGTGTGATAATGAGAAGGATGTTGTTTCCACGGCGCGTTACATTCCTATGCCTGAGTCTCTCTGGGTGCTGCGCCACCGATTTCCAAACGTTACGCGGTCAGTTCTTTTGCAGTGCGTGCGGTGCCATCGGTGGGTGGCGCAGCCCGTCACGACGCATCCCCCTGACGAGGTGCCGGCGTGTCCAACACGGTTAGAGAAAGCGGCATTAAAGTTCAAAAACGATCGTTATCGACGGCTGCAGGCTGAGGAAGACGAGCTGAAGGAGGAGTGGCGGTCTCCTCGATTTCGTCAAAACCAAGAAAAGATTGTGAATGTTGTGAAACCAACCAAGCGGCGCGGTCAGGAGGAACAAAAGGAGACTAACGCATATTATATACCTAACCCCGCTAACTTCACCTGTCAGTGGGTATACTGTGCTCTTGAAGACGTCTGGACGGATTTGCGGGATCACTGGCTGGGGGAGTTGTACGCCACGTTGGACAGTGTCAGGGGGGATGAGGAAGGTGGTAGCAGCAGCAATAGCTCACGTCTGCGATGCAGTCAGCAATCTCCTAAGGAACGGCTAAACAAGGAATTAGTAAAAGAGCTCCATGGAAAGCGTAGTGAGCGCTTGGCAAGGAAACCGCATAATGGAACAGATAGCAAATATGAGAAGAATGAATTACATAGATCTGCAGCAGAAGTTTCACTCAATGAGGGTATTGCGCAGCAATTGGATACACTCATACGTCACGATGAGGCTGTAGTTGCATCTTTCTGTTGGATCAGCTGTGACGGTTGTGGGAAGTTACGACGTGTCCATCAGCCGTTTCCAGGTGGTGCACCTTTTGTTTGTGCGCTGGCGTTGAATATTGGTTCCTGCAGTGTACCAGAGCAGGAAGGACTGGGCTCTGTTTTTTGCAGTCATGTGGATCAAGTTTCTGTGAGCGATACGTACGAAAGTATTGTGGGTGATATGGTTCTTCGTGATGCCATTGGAGCAGGGGCATCTGCTGTGGCTGCGACTACGACATCTACGGTTGTTACATCCACCAGTAGCGATCGCACTGAAAATGGAGCTACGAAGATGTCTACTAGTGGGCGTCGACTTGGTCGAAGCTCTGCAGTTGGTCCACATTTGACTTATAAGAGCAGTGCTTCCGCGAAGTTGATTGTCCCGCTTCTTCGTGAACTGACGTCTGCGCTGCGTAAGAGGGCATTGGGTGCATTTGTAAAGAACATTTTGACCGTCCCGGATGAGGTGCGCGCAAAACGCGAGAGTGTCGTACGGGCCTCAATTGTTGTGGCTGGGGATTCGAGGCACACCGACTCCGTTTCACCCAAACATGAAGAGCAAAAGAGGGATTGGCCGGAGGTGCAGAACAACACCTTACCGCTGGGGAACAAAGCTGAACCTCATCAGGCGGAAGTGGACAATGCGAAGAGTGAAGTTGGGGAGCAACAAAATATGAACGTACTTCCTGCTGAAACGAACATCCACGTGTCCGAAGTGCCTTGCAAAGAGGGGGTATCTCGTCCCTGTCGACGACTCGGTTGTCCGCCGCGGCGAATGAAGGAGGTTGCACATCAAGGAGGTGCCAAGACGCGAATGACTCTCGTGTCATTGCCGCCGAGTGAAGTCACGCGTCCTGAAGGGCTAACCGAAGATGTCACAACCATAAAGTTAGAGGCGGTGGCGACGCCTTCCGAAGTGGTCGCTAACACTGGTCGCACTAATGCGTCGCTGAATGGCACTCCTGTGAAGCAGGTAACTCCAGCGCCCTCACCAGAGGAACCCATGGCAACGGTAGCTGAGGCGCTGAGTAAGGAAAGTCCTTCCAAAAAGGTCTGTGGACGAAAACGCACAAGGTCATCAACGACGGAGGATGCCAAGCAGAACATTGGCAATGACGATGGTATCAGTAACACAAATGCGATCTGTGGTGCAAAACCTCGGGGCGTCGCTCGTCGTGTGGGGAGTGATGGCATAACCAGTGCCTTGAATAAGGAGGAAGTGGAGGTCATTTATTGGATGTGCTGCGATTTATGCGATAAGTGGCGCATTGTTCCCGAAAAGATCTCAGAGGACACGGATCACTGGTACTGTGAGATGCGTGCGGATGGAACGACGTGTAGCGACACCGATGATGAGATTCGCATGAACCGGTCAAAAAAGCGCGGACGAAAACGCAAGAAGGAAAACAGGTGATGAGAGGTAGACTGCTGGGCATATATGCAACTGTGTATATGTTTCTAGTGTTTTTTAAAGTTTAATTATATATATATATATATATATATATTATCTTTTTTGCTTTCTTTAAGGGAGGAACTGTGTGTGCGTGTTTCCGTTTTGTCGTTCTTCAACAAAGTTAACGACAAGCGATATGACTCTCTCTTGATATTATCTCTTCCTCCCCCTTTTTCTTTACTCCCTGTCTTCTTCCTCCTCGTTAGCAACGTTTTTTCGTTTACAATTTCCTTCTTTTTTCAGCTCTTCTGCATCGCCGCATCCAATAGGGAACATAAATAGAAAAATACGCTGAACGCAAAATACCAGAAAAAAACATAAACGAAAAGTGAAGGTAACTCATAAGGAGCTCAACAGGAAGGCATCAAGAGGTGACTATAGTAGAGCCATCAACAGCCCTCATTACTCTCCTGGGAGCTGGGGAAAAGCAATAAGTAAAAAAAAAACAACCTAAAAATTCAAGAAGTATCAAGTGGCTCCGTGGCGATCTTAGAAACCTTTTTTCTTACTTTATTTAATTCGGTGCTCTCTCTCTCTCTCTCTCTTGTTCTTACAGCTTTATTTTGTTGGAATCCCAATTCCACGGGTGCACACTTTACTGTAAACCCCGTGAAGTGCAATGTCGTCCGCGCTCTATTTTGTCTGCTCGAGGTGCGAGCTGCCCATTTGCTCGCACAAGGATCTTATCATGCTGCCTGTCGCCGGTGGTACCACAGAAACAGCCTTTGAATACTTGCTAGAGGACGTTCTGGCTTTGGAGACCTCTGTGCCATGCTACAGCGGCGATGAGGTGGCGGAGGTCAACGTCACGGTTTCAGAGGAAATACTTGCATCCATTTTACCACCAGCAACACATCAGCTGACACTGGAGACTGTTGTGGTGTCACAACACGCTGAGCAGCGGCAGCAAGAGCAGAACGGTGTGGAAACCACGCAAATGCTCCAACCAGAGGGATCAGACCCGAGTAGCTTGACAAACACACTGCCTAATAGCAACAACGGCATCAGCACAGGGGACCTGCCAGAGACCAACCCCGGAGAGGATCGTGAGCAAAATACGACGGATACGTCACTGCGTGGAATGTCTTTTGTTGACAGAACCTCTTATCAGCAAGTGATGCGGGCGTTAGCATCTTATAGCCGTGTTCAAGAAACTCGTGTGGATCTGGTATGCGTTAGGGAGGAGGTGTTGGGGTGTGGGCTCAGCTGTTGTACCAAGGGTCGTGTCACTGATGCTCCCTCAGCGAACTCGCCTTCAGCCTCGTTGGAGGAAGCGCAAAACCCATCGTCTTCTACCCAATGGTTTGCACATCCAGGGAACTTTATAGTTGAAGAATCCTTTGTTAAGGTACGGCGTCGCACAAAGACCGCGCGGTGTCCATGGTTTGATGCATACAATTGTCGCGGGAGACTGCAGTGTCCGGACTGTCATCTTGGGCTAGGCTACTTGTTTGTGCGGAAGTCAAAGGAACATCCCGACTCCCAGGCGGCAGCGTGCGAGGTGAAGGCTCCGTCTGCTGACCTGATGCAGAATGGGGAGGAGGAGAATGCTCAGGACGCACATGAGCCACAGCAAAAAAAAGAGCGGAAAGAGGAGGGAAACGAAAGAGGGAATAAACAACAGCAGAATGACGACGATGGAATCACGTCGCAGTTTCCTTCCACGTTTTTGGGCTTAGAGCTAAAAAAGATACGGCAGCGTCAATGGGGTCTGCGGGATTTTCAGAGGCGATATCAGCAGTCCAAGAATATTAAATCTTTTCGGGAGATGTTCCCAGAGGCAGAGGAACTTGAGAACCTTTACAGCCGTCTCACGGCACTTCGCATGCAAGCTGAGCTCTATAACAATCTTCTTCGAAAGCACAAGGAACGGAATGATGTGCAGGGTGCACTCCTTTTAAGTCAAAAAGAACGCATCCACACCTATGAGGAAAAACTGCGCACCATGCAACAAATCATTGAAGCACAGCGAGAGCAGTTGGAGATGCAGGGTCGGCAAATCAAACATCAAGAAGAATTAGTGAGGAACCATAAAAGTCAGGTGCATACACAACAGCAACAAATACATGTAGAACAGCTTCTACTAACAGAGCAAAGTCGCACAATCGAGTCTCAGCGAGAACAATTGAGGCTTATACAGGTTCACCTTAAGGCAAGGTTGGTAAAGGAGAGGCTAGACGAACGCTGTGAACAACTTTCCAAGCTTCTTCACGGACTAGGTGGAGAAAGGCGCTCCTACGTGACCACCACTGAGACCGCAATCGCTTCACAGCAACGCATTTCACGACCTCTTCTTCCACCTCCGCATCTTATGGGTGTTGTGGGTCATGATACTCGTGAACACGGGGAAGTAGAAACAGAAACATCAGAAGAGAGAGGGATGGTGGGGGAAGCCACCAATGAATTGTGCCAACACCATCCAAGTAGGGCAACAACGCCCCCTCGTGATGAGCTCGTGGCCAGCGCAAACATAAGTAGGGACGCTGTAGCATCAGAGAGTCGTGTCTGTCCCCCAAGAACATTGTCCATGCTTACAGCTGCCAGCGGATCGTATGCCAGGTCTACTTGTAGCAGAAACCTCGGTGTTTCTGAACGAACGGTGGCGATCACGCGGAAGATTGCCGAAGAACGGGCTAGGCGGGATGCCGGAAGGGGACCCCTACCGTCATGTGGCGGCTCAATCAGCACTGCTGCGTCCAAGGTCACGCCACAGACTCCGGACGATGCAGCTCCCTCTAATTGCCGAAACTCCTCCTAGTTGCCATAAAAAAAGGAGTGAAGGGACGTTTTTGCGAAGAAGAAAAACGCAAAACAAAAAAGTGAGGGAAGTGAAGTGAGGTGTTGAATGAACCACAGGGAAACGAGGGCGGGAAGGGGGACCTGAACTTTAGTGGTTCTTGACAAACTTTGCTACAGGTTCCCGTTTCAAGCTCTTTAAAAAATGAGGTGGGTTGTATGATTTTGCACACACACACACACACACACAGAGAGAGAGAGGGAGGGGGGGGAGCGACGTGTGTGTGTGTGTGTGTGTTCAGAGTTAGATACTGGAAAGTTGTTAGGGTGGGTGAAAGAGAACACACAAAAAATAAGTTTTTTTTTTTCTTTTTAGTTGGGTAAGGGAAGAGGTGCAATGCCTACATTAATGTGCCATCTAAAAATACAATTTTGGTGGATGCAAGCGCATTGAGGTGTGCCGCCGTCTCTGTGAGTGGGCGTTCACACTTTCACCTGAACCCCTTTTTCCTTTTGTTTTAGTCTTCGAAAGCGACAAATGTGAGAGGGAGGACTACTGCAGTGAATTGTTTTGATTTTTTATTCCTCCCCCACCTTGAAAAAGAAAAAAGAAAAACACCATGTTTTATGATTTTATGAAATAAACCACGCAGGTCCGAGGAAGTGGGAAACACAGAGGTGATAGTGTCTTTGAAATCGTTTTGCGGTTAGCCATAGAGAAGAGTGACCTACCGATGATGTCAGCAGCGGAAATGATACTCAGAAATTGCCTTCCTTTCTCTTCCTCTCTGCCTTTTATTTGCGGTAGCTGGGGTGGTGACGGAGAAGCTAGGTTGCATATGGCATTCAATGGCTTTGCGGACGAAAACAAGTCTCTTCGCACGAAAGTTTTAGTTTTGGAGCGAGAGCTCAAGCGGCGCACCGACGAGTGTACCAAGTTGCGTGGTGAATTACGAGAGTTTGGGGAGTTAAAGCAAAAGAATGAATCACAACGGGAACTTATTTTGGCACTGCGTGATCAGATTGAGTTTTTGCGTACAGCTCATGCGTCAGCAGTGGAGACACTTGAGAAGAAGGCGAATGAGGACCGTGACAGGGAGCACCGCGAACGCCTTCAGAGTATAAACGCCCGACTTGGTATAGAGGTGTGCCAAACAAATAGATTGCCGAAGAAGTTTGCACCGGAGGTTAGTGCTTCAGGCGGTCTTGTACCGACAAGTGATGGGGCGCAGGTAGTTTTGAAGAGCTCTGATATTTCCTCGTTGGGCTTTGCTCCTGTTCAGCGTCCAGTAGATTTTCTGGGTGGCCGGCAGAATCCATTGCAGCAGAGTGAGAACGCTGGGAGTGGGGGTGCTGAGGAAGACGAAGCGGCTCGGCTCATGGAGATGGTTAAAGATGAAGCGTTACTAGATGTTCAATATGCTGAAGTCGCGGATCAAGAAGAAAAGGAGCTTCGTGAGCGATTTGAGGCGCTACGGCGGCGTTAATGAGGTGCAGCTGCTTGTGCCTGCCCATAAAGAGGGGTTATGCTTGGTTTTATGCCAGTCGTGTGCAAATGTGTGTGCTAGTTTGGTTTCACGTGTGCTTGTTATGAGTGAAGAGGTGGGTGGGGTGGGGAGAGGCGTTTCCTGTTGTTCTGGACATTCCCTGTTTATTTATTCTTTCTTTCCTTCCCACAAACCCTCTCTGTCGTGGAAGTTCATATTGTTATTTATTTATTTTTTTGTCTTTAATTTTTTTTTTTTTTTTCTTGCATGCGTAGCGAAATTTTTTTTTTTTTTTTTGAGTGTCCTGCATGGAAATATGAAATCCGCCGCGCTTCTCCAACAGCTGTTATATTTGCCCCTTCTTTTGGCGTCCGTTCTTCTTCGCGGGGCGGAGGCACGTGCCTCATCGGAATCAGAACTATTGTGCTCTCCACTGGTAATAGAACCATACCAGAATTCTTCATGTGTCATCAATGTGCGAGACGCACAGCAAGAGCCTACTACGGCATTTGACGTGGGTGAATTCTTTGTGACAGCCCACAGCTCTGTATCCAAGGCCGCACTGAAGGTGAGCCCACTGCGGCGTGACGACGATGTGACAACGGTGGTGTTTGATATTTCTGCCGTGGAAAGCACAACCATCACGGTAGACGTAATGTGCGCGTCGGGCGGTTATGCTTTCCCAATTCACAATAGCGGTTTAGTGGTGTCTGTTTTGACTAGGGCGGCGGTGCGCATGGGGCCCATTTTGTGCGATGTCCCTGCAGCAGGTCTTTTTCTCAGTGGCACCACAACCTGTAGAACGGCCTTGTACGACGCAAACAATCGTCGTGCGGTTGTATATCCAAGTGATGTAGCATTTGTCGAAGAGAACAATATGGGATTCTTTCACTTTATTTCTGGCAAAGGGGATCTTGTTTTTAACTTCACGGCAGCAAGTCTTCCAAGCATGTCAATAGGGAATTTCACACTACATCTGACGCTTATAGGTGACACCAACACCTATTCTACTACCTTTCCTTTACTTTATCCGGATTTGTACCCAGCGGCGTCCTTTTCCACGCTAGTGTGCTTCAATGAAACGGTTCCCATTGCCTGTATCGTGCGTGCTTTGGGAACCATGGGCCCTGTTAGACTAAATTTGGATTACTTCCGAATAACCCTTGAGATGCTAGATGAAGACTCAGTAGGGAACAAATGGGTGGATAACACTAACGCTTTTTCCATTTCTGCACGTGCATTGGCCCAAACTGATACTGCATTTTTTTCTTGCGAACTTAAAGTCAATGACGCTATTAATTTAGAACGACTACATGTGTATATTGTGACAAGTGCAGTTGGGAATGAGAGGAAGAAACTGCAAGAGGTGCAAGGCTCACCGTTTGTGTTTGTTTCCGGAGTGAGGCCTAATGCAGCTTATGTTTCACTACGGGGTTGTAAAGTTCCTGCAATTACTAGCGGAAATCGTACACAGTGTTTCATTGACCTTTATAATGGCGTCACTGGTGATGTACGGTATTTTCATCTTGCTAGTACGCTTGGCGCGCTTTTTGAAAATATAACATACCTTTCCATGGACCCCGTATTTAAGGCTCCTGTGGTGACTTTTGTGTACGTGGCACCCGTCTTGACTACCCGCTTGGAGGACATCATTACGCTTTTTGTGGACGGCCAAAGCGCAATCCGATCGCCATTTCGCATAACTGTATTTCCACAGCATAGTCCCACCAGTGATGAAAGTTTCACTACTGTCAGGGGAAACAACGCCCTGGTCATTGGCGTTGGACTTGCATTCTTTGGTGTCGTCATTGGCACTGGGTCATTTGTAGCTGTAAAACGCACCCTGCGGTTCAATCGTATTCGCCAACTGCGAGTGATACGTAAGACGCAAGAGTTACTGACGGAGGAAGAGGAAGCTGCCGCTTCCTCGGCGGTCGGGAAGGTGGGCATTGAGCCCGTACCGCAGGTGCAGAAGCTTCGTGAGTCAGAAAGTGACTGAACATGACGAAATATGAAGGAAAAAGAAAACAGTGGCATGGGAAGATATACTTGCATATATGCATACGGATGTGTCAGTATGCGTTTATTGTACCTGCGTGGAGTTTATGAAGGCACGCCCTGCACCTTTCTTCTTGCTAGTTGTCTCCTTTTTTTTGTGTGTTTTTGCTTCTCTTGCAACATCCACGTATATCATATTTTTTTTGTTTTGTTTCTGCTCCTTTCCATCTTTTTTTTTTCTCACAATACCCATCAAGGAGGCTGAACGCGTGTGTGTGTGTGTGTGTCCGCTCCGCTTTTGTGAGGCGCTGGGTTTGTTCTCCACCCTGCAGCCTTGACTGTGGTGTGTGAAAGCAGGAAGTAACAAGACGTAGCAGCTACATTGCAGCAATCAAAGCAACCAAAGACATTCAAGGAGGTTACTACAAAAATAAACAAAGTAAAAAAAAAGGTGTTGGAAGGACAATAAGTAAAATTGGTTGCTTTCACGTGAGAAAAGCTACATCCGCATCAGTTGTAGCCACACAACTACTAATACAAAAGGAGTTCAACGAACGAGTCTAACGGAAAAAGTAATAGGCAAAAAAAAAAAAATCAGGCTAGCAACACTATAAAGGACGGCGTAAATAATAAAAAAAGTTTTTTTTTATTATATATATATATATATATTGAAAAAAGAAACAACGTTT